AATCCGGCACTGTACTCCCTCGTGTTGTGGAAGCTGTCCTCAGTGAAATGCGCAGCACACAATAGCAATTTGGGTTATAATGCTCAGGAACAGAGTTAAAAAATAAATTGCAATCACTGTTCCCTGACATCATCCGCTTTCGGAAGCCCAAACAAAGACGTTTGGGCACGGAGGTGAAAAAAACAGCGTTTCAGGCGGTCGCACACCGGACGAGAAGCGCAGCGTCGCGGCACATCTTTAAAATTCAAATACTTTATTTTCTATGAGTGTAGGCACACCGGCGGCACCGTTCGGCGTCTGTCCGCGGCGCCCAGCTACGTCGTGTTATACTTGTAAGAATTGTTCTAGACATGCCGAAAATTTTACGCTACAGCACAGCAGCTCTTCTTCTTCGTTTTCTCTGATGCACTAACTCTGCACCAGCACTTCTTCTTCGTCGTCTCGTCTGATGCACTCATTCAACCAAGTGTTCTAACCACGAGCTCGCCCCTCCCCACCCCCCAACCATTCTAATTTCTGTAGGCGGGAATTATTTGTAATGATATTCCAATGAGCCGCTTTGTGATATCACAAAGCCCGGAAAAACTAACGCTGTAGTCCAAACGAGCCGTTCGTTGTAGTTCTTGAAAAGGGATTTTTAAAAAACGAAATATCTCCCTTTGGAGTGGACTTTTTAACTTGAGATTTAACTAGATTTCCTTTTTTATGCCCACACATACACACTACACACTGACTAAAATTAAAAAAGTGAAAAAGCATAATAGGACCCCTTTAAGTACAAATTCTTAATCTGTGGCCATGAATTATCCTAAATGACGGAATGAATAGTTAATAGTAGCCAGGATTTGACTAAAAACAAGGCAACAATTTAATAAAACTAAGGAACGAATTCTTAATTTGTGACCACGATGAATATACTTTGGTCCACATGTTAAATGTGGGGCTTATTTTGGTTCACAATGGTTATTATTTGGTCAAAATGAATTGACAGACTCGCTTTGGGGTCCAACTGAGGATAGGTTTTATCAAGATAACGTATTTAAAACACTGCCCAGCTTTGTATCAGAGTCTAGAGTGCCTCGCTCTCCTGAGCTCTGCCTGCTGTTTGGTTGTCCTTCCCTCATTAGCAGCCTGCACACGAACAAAGGGTGCATGCAACATACAGACAAACACACATGTCCTTTTTTAAAAGGAAAAGACTGAGAGAATTGGAGGAATGCAAAAGAATGGCTTTTCACAGGGATGCAGCTATTCATTACCAGTCGAGCTTCTCATCAGGTTCAGGAAGCCATTGGTAGGGCTCATCTGAGAGGTGACTGCTAGCAGATCCCGGCCCAGACTCTTGGCTATTTTCATGGAGAACACTTCAGTGTAATTGCCTTCCAACTGAGGCTATATTTTGTTGCTGAGAAAATTGGAGCGCAGTACAGACCTCTCCTGCTGCAAACGGGTTTTCATTTCCCCCTAAACAAAAAAAGCAGGGAGAGTGACAAGCTTTAGGATGTAAATACCAGCTCGGCGCTGAAGAGCCTCCTGCCATTCCGTGAAGGGGGATATTGAAAGTGCAGCTATTTACGCTGTTTAAAATTGCAAGAGTAGTTTATGTGCTTCACAGAATCTGTAAAAAGTCAAGAACAAGCCAGCGTCTCCTTCCTGCTCCGTTCATATCCACCTTGACAGGCAGGATTAAAATTGACATTCATACTGGATTATTATTGGTGTGACTGCATAAGAGAACCTCTGTGCTTGAAAGTAATGAAATAATTAGAGAATTGAGTGCAGGAATTCATTATCATAACCCAGTGGAAATGGTCTCGATTGTGAAATGTATGATTTGATGAACATAGATATGAATCCTCCATAAAATGTGTATAATTGCTGGAGGGATCATCTTGGGAATTATCTTGATGTATTAATTTTGGTAGTGACATGATTAGATGATCATTCGATTTGCTACAGTAAAACGCAAAGGCTGAGGCTTTGCTTACGCTACCATCTAAAGTTTTTTTTTTTATATATATTTTTAAAATGTGATGGCAAAGCTGAATTTTCAACAGTCATTACTCCAGTCTTCAGTGTCACATGATCCTTCAGAAGTCATTTTAATATGCTGCATTTGCTGCTCAAGAAACATTTCTTTTTATGTTGACATTTTATATTTTTGTGGAAACCGTGATACATTTTATTTCAGGATTTTTTGATGACTAGAAAGAACAGCATTTACTTGACATAGAAACCTTTTGTAATCGTCTTTACTGTCACTTTTGATCAATTTAACACATTCTTGCTAAAAAAAGTATTAATTTCTTTCAAAAACACACAAACAAAAAACGATGGACATTTGAACAGTATATATTGTACGTCGAACAATATAAAAGTGTATATTTTCAGCTAACTCAGCTTGCTAACATGAATAGAAAAACATAAATGACATAAATTAATACATAAATACATACAATGTATCATACAAAGTGGCATCTAGAAACAAAAATACTTTTTCTCAGAACTAAACGACCAGATAAACCAGCTAATGTTTTGTCATCAGGGAATGGTTTAAGATTCAGTTTACGAGCAAAATTCATCTTACCCAACAATAATCCTTTTCCACACAATCTTCAAATCATATTTATGTATATTCTGACCTACTTTTCAAAGTTTCCTTATTTTTTAATGAAAGAGAGACACTTTTGGCTGAGTTCTAATTTAATACTCAAATTCTGAGTAAAATAGCACTAGCAATCAAGTCTTTCTTTCTGTCTGATTGGGCACGATTAATAATTTAGTTGAATTTGACGAGTGTCTCATATATTCTGTAGCAATTTCCTAGGCAAGAGACGAGAAACTGATTGATGGCCTATTGTCGGAAATAAGTGAGACCTCTTTCCCACAAGCCAGCAGTTAGGAGCAAACTTTAATCTCCTCCTAGTAAACATTCATCTTACCCTGAGCAACATCTCTCTCTGTCTCTCTCTCTCTGTGGTTCTTTTGGCATCTCTGTCGGTTTAATTAACTGGGATTAGAAGCCACCACAGTGTCTTCTAAGGCTGGTTTATGAGTAGCACACTAAGAGGTCATCAGGGGTCCTACATGAAGGAAAATCCCATCTCACAGAGCTTTTTGACTGAAGCAAACACTCGGTAAAGCTACTTATGAAGTCTGAAGGCCAAGTCTGACATTTTTAATCTTTAAAAGAGGCTACTGATATAATAGCTGAATAATTTTCAGTTAAATGCAAATTCTTAATTAATAGACATGGCAAAGTAGCAAGAGTTTAGCAGAAAAAAAACTGTTCTCAGACTAATTTAAGCAGCCTGTAAAGTGTGTTTTATAACGTCAGTTAAATTTTATTGCAATATTCCTCTGTCATGCCATACATCCGGTTCATATAAATAGCTTGCTATGAATAGTGTTTTGGATTCGTTACACATATTTGCTGTCACCATATGTTTGGTGTACTGACACCACAAGCTGTCTGTGAACATGCATCACATCACTCTCAACTCACAGAAAGCATCCAGAAAGAATCATTACAATGTGTGTGTGTTTCTATTTCAGTGATGATGAAGTAAAGATGTTCAAAAATACATTTTAAATAAAAGCACTAAAAGGCTGCTGGAAATCATAAATACATTTGCATACATACATACGTACTATATGTTAAGTTGTAATAATATTGCACATTATGATTGTTTTACTGCATTTTTGATCAAATAAATCCAGCCTTGTTGAGCCTAAAATACTTCTTTCAAAAACATTAAAAAATCTCATAAATCACAAACTTCTGAACAATAGTGAACATTTAATAAACTACTTCAATTGTCTGTGCTTAGTCAGATTTACTGAATAGAAAGTGTTTGTGTGCCTGTCACCGCATGTGGAGCTTCAAGCCTGACAGAAGTCTTTTCAAACAATGGACATTTTTAAAACAATCGTCAATTGTGTTGATAAATCTGTTTACAATGACTTTTCAATGTGTGAGTCAAAATATACTCCGCATGAAACTCTTCATGCAGCTTTGCAGTCCTTTCACTAGCAATATGAATACTGTAAAACATGTCTAAACATGTATAAACGTAAATATTTTCAAAATATATACTGTGTGTGTGTGTATTTATATATACATAATAAATATACACAATACACATACATGTATAATTTAAACAAAAACTTTTATTTTGAATGTGATTAATCACGATTAATCGTTTGACAGCACTACTGATTAGTATACTAATTTCATATGCATTCCTTTATGTAATCATCTTTCTTAACCTGAAAACAGTTCCTGGTGGTGTGAGTGTGACAGCGATATAATGTAAAGGTTGTGAAAAGCCTGTTTTTGAACAGATCGAGGAACAGACAACACTGTCATCAAAAATAACTCTGCAGATGTCTGAGAGAAATATTGCCCAGAAAGAGCACACATGGTCTCTCCACATGTGACGAACGGGCCTCTATGCATTTCTGTTCTACGTCTCTCTCCCATTTTTCACATCCCTCTATTTTTTGGTCCAATGCTGTTCGTTATATCTGGTACCACCTGCAAAGCCTTTAATTAGCTCACATCTGCTTCGCTCTCTCCCAAACCAATGCACTTGGCGCCCCTCCACTGTAAAAGACCTCCCATCATGAAGCATAACCCCCCAAATCAAAAGGCCATCAGGACAAAAGGAAGCTAAAATTACTAATACTGGATTCCATGAAGATTGCAGAATGAGATGCCGTATTAGGAGCGGGTGCATTTTTATCTGACACACAGAGAATGGAGTCTTCAAACAAAACCCTCGTCATGTTGAGAGAAGCAAAACAACAGGGATTAAATATAGATTTCTCTGCTCTTTGTCAGCCAAGGCAATCTCAAAAACAAAAAGCAATCAATAATGCTCAAAAGAAAATGAGGAATGGGACAAAACCATTTTAAGAGCATTTCAGCAGGGACTTGTTTCCGTTCTGCTTTCAAGTCGAAATCTGTTTTTTTTTTTTTTTGCTTTGTGTTGCAGGCCTGCGCCGGAGCTACTCGTGCAGCGTTTGCAACGTAGTGCTGAACTCCATCGAGCAGTATCACGCTCATCTCCAGGGCTCCAAACACCAAAACAAGTGAGTGTGGATTTTCTGTCCTGAATGATATTCCCCTATTTCAAGTCTTTCCAAGAGACTGCTCGCTTGATAGTCAAGGAGACTTAATGGAGTTACCATTAATGTTTCATTTAAGTACAGTAGCAGAAATAAAAACAGAGAAATTTGAAAAAAAATAGATCAAATTTAATTTCTTACTTTTGATTCCACACATCTGTGTCTTGACAAATCGGACTGCAGTTTATGACATTGTAAAAATGTAATTGAATGCCATTGCAATATAGAAAAAGAAATGTGATTCCAAAAAATATAATTATTAGCATATTAGAATGTTTTCTGAAAGATTATGAGACACTAAAGACTTAAATAATGTCTGCTGAAAACTCAGCATTGCCGTGACGGGAATAAATTATACATATTTTAAATAGTTTAAAATATAATAAAATACAAAACAGTTTTTTAATTGCAATAATATTTTACAATATCACTGTTATATTACAAATTTGCATATACAGTATATGGACATTTTTAAAATGAAAAAAAAAGAGAGACAACAAAAATATTAATATCTTATCTAAACAAAATGGTTCCTGGAATGAAAATGTCAACCTCTAACTGTATCTTAGAATTACAAAATCATAAGAAAATAATCAAGTTCTGCTTTTACCAAGCTGTACTATAAACTAAAGGTTATTAGGCATTTTTTTTATTAAAAAAAAAGGACAAACCCATACTTCCTGTTTCACAACTGTTGTTTATCGATACAATCTTTAAACTCTTTCATCCTTCTCTTTAAATCTCTTTTTATCCCTCATGTCTTCTCTAAGATTGGCTTATCGGTCATATTTTTTATACTTAACCTGACATCTGCTTCTGTCCTCAAAGGGAATATCAGTGGTCGCCTCAGTTATCATAGTCTGCTCAGGTCTGCTGCCTCCTGTTGAGTTCAATAGAAATCACTGCGATACTGCCATAACTTTCCACACTGCACAGACAAATCATGCAGGATACCTTTATGTGTGCTGCTGACCGGTGGGATATCGGTGATTAAAACACTCTGACTTAAGGCTGCAATTTTAAAACATCAGTTTCTATCTTTCTTTGAACTCAAAGCACAGCTACCTACTAAGAACCATGGGATGCTACATTCCCATTAGCCTTCTTAAAGGGACAGTTAACTAAAAAAAACAACACCCTCATGTTGTACCATATGCAGTTTTTTTCTCACAAAAGGAGAGGTTTTGGAGGTCTTTTCCATAACTGCATCTGCCAACCACCAAAAAGAACAGAACGATATCAAAAAAGTCATTATTCCCCATCCGCTGTAGCTTTCAAATAAAAAATGTTTGCAAATAAATGAATATAAATATCATTGGTTCATGTGACTAAATGTAGTTATCAAACCAGATTGTTTATGCTTACTATAAACAGTCATTTGGAAATTAGAATTTCATCTTATTCTACTAAAGTCTCTTTAAGGGAGATTTTTAAGTAACCATGTAATGGAACAGTTTATTGAAATTTTAGACAAAATATTACAAAAAAAACTGCATGTGTTTTTTTTTGTTGAGTGTATTTGATACATCAGACTTTTATGGCTCATATAGTAGTATATAGGAAATATGGAGCTCATATTTCCACTTGTGGAGGAAGAAAACTCTTAAATTTATTCAGAGCAAAAAATATGCAATTTGGTGCAGATGCTGATATTTATATGGCAAAAATTAAGATAAAATTCTGATAGCTTGTAATTCATTAGAGGCCTTAGAAATGTGCATATCAAATATATACAGTATACTTTTGATTTGCATATCAAATATATACAGTAGGATTTGTTAACTTGACCAGCAAAATGTTTTTAACCAGCATCACAAGATTTTTTTTCTTTCTGATTAAGTGGAGGAACAGCAAAAAAAGTCATTATGCTTCACAAGCTAATTTTTGCTGGTAAACATTTTGGCTAAACATCTAGATTAGCCTTACCCATCAGGAAAGCTCATGCTAGACTACAGTGGTTATTTAAGCAGGTTGGTATAACATGATGTTTTCTATTCAGACCGAGGTGGGTAAACATTACCACCTGTGAGCACTTAGAAACAATTAAAGTCACTTCTTGTTTCTGTCTGGCAGAGCCCTCTGTGCATCAGCAGTGGTGTTTAGTTGATCTGCCACCCCGTTTGCCTCCAAATACACCCAACCGCCTCTAGCAGGACATGCCCATCAACCTCGTAATGAAATAAAAATGATTTAGAGCAAGAAAATGAAGAGAGAGGAAAAGAGGTAGCAGAGCTCCCACTGTTTGTCCAATCACACACACGGTTGACAGAAATGAACCCACCTTCATACAAGGAACTGTCAGGTTTAGAGCCTGTGGTGAAGGCGCTTTTTTATCGTCTTCACTTTGAGGCAGCTGGCCCATTTCTGCGAGCTACGTGAGACGACTGCAACCGCTTCCAGCAACCCCTAATTGCTCTTCACAATAAACCAATTGATTAACATGCCAACAGAGTCGGGGTTGGGCAGGAGGACTCCAGCTGAAATCCAAATCACTACTATCTTACAATCATTAATTGTAATTAGAGCTACATCCTCTCGTACGAGGAATCACTGACAGCCAGGAAGAGTATTGATTAAAGAGGATGTTTTCCTATCTTGTCGCTGCAGCGCGTCTCTGCGTATTCTGATTAAGTGGAGGAAAAGTTCATGTAAGGGTCTGTTTTGCATTAAGACAGTAAAAAAGAGCCGTTTTGTCTTGTAACCCCCCCTGCAGAACATCACCGCTCAGGATGCTGTTGTGGGAGGACAGCATTTCCGATCTGTGCCCAACACAAGCAGCTTCCTGCTACATACACATTAACTTTCTTTGTTGTAAACGAACCGCTGCAGTCCACAGAAGTTAACATGCTTGGCCAACCTGCATTTAGCAATGAATACAAACCTCAGCAAATGGAGAATATGTATTCATAATATAAAATGTGTATATACAGTGGGTACGGAAAGTATTCAGACCCCCTTAAATTTTTCACTCTTTGTTATATTGCGCTATCAGGTGGCCACGCATACGGTGCATTTTCAGTTCAGCACACTTAACCATCAGCATCTCTTCTGCATGAGCAGCATTTAGCCTCTTGCTTATATCAGAGTTTAGTTTCAAGGTGACACTGTAGGACAGCTGATGGGGCGTTCACACATAGTTGAGATTTCAGCAATTTGCAGTTTCCAGCAATGTGAGTGACAGCAAATCCTGATGGGATGCAATATGGGTGTGTCCTTCAATGCAAAAAAGTTGAAAAAAGTGTAATCTCATGCAAATGAAAAGAAAATATTCTATCAAAAACAGTGAATACACTGAAGTACACTAGTGTCACTATTATAAAATACTAAATCAACTATTATATTCACAATTTTTGTTTTGACAATTTAGTTGAACAACCGATGACAGACAAAGCTCTTTGCTTTAAATAAGATCTTTATGATATTCAAATTTTTAATACCATAGATATTGTATAATTCTTGTCACCAGTGTCAATATCACAAAATAACTAATACTAGCCAAAAATAAAAATAAAAACTCAAGCTCACTGAAGACAAGTAAACAATCAGCAATTAAATAAGAATAAGAAACTAATTACAAGCAATAGGACAAAAAATACAGGAGAAAAATAAAGTAATGCTACATACATTATATAAAGTAATCAAATGTATAAAATCACTGCATATTCTTCACTGTGTAAATTAAATATATATTTCTTCTTATTGAAATTACAAAAGTGATTCAGTTAAGAGCAGTGAGAGATTTTCTCTTTTTTGTTGATTGATTGACATGAACGACAGGAATATTAGACTGCTGTCACTTTAAGAGCTGCCCAGATCCAATATACACTTACACGTTTACTTTCTTAGCTGTTTGCTTTCACCTAAGAACAATAGTCCAAAATAGGGCTGCATGATATATCGTTTCAGCATTGATATCGCAATGTGCGCATCCGCGATAGTCACATCGCGACAGCTGTCGTGTCACGCCGCAATAAAGTCTGTCTACACTGGACGTGGTAGATAAATGCCATTCCTTTGAGCATTCTATTCATTCTATTCAAGAATCCTGAAAAAGTCTATCATAAATTGCACAAAAATATTAAGCACCACTGTTTTCAACACTGATAATAATAATTTAAAAAGGTTACCTGAGCATCAAATCAGCATTTTAAAATGATTTCTGAAGGAACATGTGACACTGGAGACTGGAGTAATGGCTGCTGCTGCCATGAAAGGAATACATTACAATTTAAAATGTAATAAGATAGACAACAGTTGTTTTAAATTGTAATAATATATTTCACAATATTGCTGTTTTACTCTCTTTTTGATCAAATAAATGCAGTCTCGGTGAGCATAAGAGTACGGAAGAGGATTAGGGCCAAGCAATAAAAAAATAAATAAAACCATCCTCAGATTAAAGTCATTACATTTCGAGAAAAAACTTGGGAGATTAAAAAAAAGTTAAAATAAAATGTTGAGAATAAACTTAAGTTATGAGAAAAAAAGTTGTTACATTTCGAGAAAATTTTTCTCTGAATTTAACACGTTTTTTTCTCGTAAATTAACGAGTTTATTCTCAACATTTTATTTTGACATTTTCTCTAAAAAAGTTTTTTCTAAAAAAACTATTGTGGCAATTGTCACGACACTAGACAAATAAATATGAATTAATACTAACTATTTGAATGTATAATTCAATTTTACATATTTAATCTTTTTTACTGCAGTATAATGACAACAAAATTCCAAATGTTAAATTTTTAAAAAATGTTAAAGTTATCACACTTTTTTTTTTTTACAAAAATGTTATATATAATTTATATTAATATGCATATGAATATATCCATATTAATTGTATAATACTAATATTATAATATATAAAAAATATAATCTAGTAAATTTAGAGGAATATAACAGGATCAGCATTAAAAAGTGTGAAAACACCTGCTTTAAAGGACACACGTTAAATTACTGGTGTGTTT